TGCAGAAATGATATGATATAGAACTTGTACTTGTATGCCAAGGTAAGCTGATTTAAAAAAGAAACAATAACACGTTGTTATGTGGAAACATAATTAATTGCATGGATTCATGATGATGCTCTGATCGGTAATTGGTGCTTGGCTTCTAACTCAAGACAGAAACTTTTTTCTTCTTTTTTCCCCCATTGCATTATTAATGTTTTCATAAGAACCGAGACAATAAAAAAGCAGTAGCTGATGAAATGACCTTTACATCCAGTGTATCTACACAATGACTGGACAGCGTTAAGGCCTTAATGTCAGGGAAAGGTTATAGATAGCTTTATACAAAGGTGTGCATTGGAGTAAAGCCCAGTTTCAAAGAGCTGAGAGCCACACAGATGTGATCCAGACTTTTGCAAAGTTTTCTAGGGGACGAGTTGCAACAGGCATCGAGTTGTTCTCCTCACTGGGGGGCTGCCCTCTACTGCCTGAAACTGTATTTACAGGCAGACGGGAAAGAGCTTTGTGCAAGTAATGGTTTATAGAAGGAACCGTCCTGTTGATGCAAAGGTCTGTGTGAGAAAGAAAAGAGAAGCACAGCAGCGCACCATTTCAGTAATGGGATATGTGTCATTAAGTTGGTGATTCTCAGCTGGTGTCCTGTGGCACCCTGGGGTGCCTTGAGATCCTTTCAGGGGCACTGCACAATGTTAGCACTGTTAGGAGCAACATGATTCGCAAGATGAACCCAGGGGTTTCAAATAGAAATGCAAAACTCAAGAACTCTTGGTTCAGAGATGATACCTTTTATTAGACCAACTTAGAAATCGCACACAACAAATATCTTTTTCTGCAGTCTTTCAGGCATGTGCGCCACAGGCTCAGGGAAAATCAAAGATGGTAAAAAGTCCCCACAGGTAGAGAATAAACTTCATTTTGCACAGAGTTTTGCATTTTTTTTTGGTCTCAGACCAACACGGCTACCAAATCTATCCCTGAAACATGGGGGATTTTAAATAGGAATCCATAGTATTAGAAACATTTTGAACTGTTGTGGCCTTTCTTAGTTTTTTGCAACAGAACAACTGCTGTATTATTTTTCTGCAGTCAAAAAATGAGTGAAAGGGAAGAGTTGGCATTTTCTGAAGGGTGGGTCAAGCCTAAGGGGTGTCTTGCGTATAAAAAGGTCGAGAACCACTGCATTAAGCATCGTCTGATCATGATGACATCTGTTTTCTGTTCCCACTGGGGAAACCACTAAGCATTTCCATATTGAGTCCTCTTCACCATAAATTGTGTCCTGTTCGTCATCATACTGTTTCAAAGGGCAGGAGCTCAGCGCTGACACCTTTTGATGCGAATCATGTTTGACACCGAGAAATGTTTGACACACTCACCTGTCCCTTCTGGAAATGTAAGCACCTGTCTGTAGCTGTGTGTAGTGTCACTTATGCCCCGTCCCTGGCCATCACTTCTAAAATCTGCAGGTATAATGCACTATTTTTGGGGGGTGGGAATGGTAGGAAACCGGAAGATTTCTGTGCCCGTTTACATCACTCAGGGGTGCACTCTGCTTACCTTTGTCTTAGCCTCCCTTAGGATAAATAAAATGCCCAACCATAGGTAAATGATCATAAAAGTACCCAGCCGTAATACTGGAATCAGACACCTTCACATTGTTGTTCGTGTATGTACCTTCGTCCATAGTTCATGGGCTATTCCCCAGCACAGCTTAGAAACAGAGAATTGCCTTGGAAGGAGTTAAGAAGAATAATTTGCTCTCTTGTTTTTAGCTAGCTGTGATCACCTTCTGCATGGTCTCTTGTTGTTTGTTTGCTTGAGGTATTCAGGAATGATCATGTAGCGTTATCAGTATAACCTCAGCAGGGCTTAAATATGTGTCAGCTCAACATAATTGTGCAGTTTTGTTTGAATAATCCTTGTATGCAGGCGAACCTGCCTGCCCGTCTCCTTGCATAGGGAACAGCAGCTCCCACAGCGATTCAGCTGTATGGCTAATTTTCAAATAAACTAAAGTTACGCACTTCCCTGACTCCATCCTAGCGCACGCTGTTCTGTGCTGCTCGAAGCCCTCTGCCTGTGGTTTGTCAACATATTCACAGTATCATTTTCCCTTCTGTGCTGGGAGGAGGTTAGTTTGTGTTTAATGCCTTTAATTGGCTGTGGAAGGAGGCAGTGTGTTAACTCCGAATCCTGCCTATAAACTCTCTCCACTGCCCTCTCTCATGTGCAATTCTCACCTGCATTGTGGAAGCTTATGGGGCAGAGCAAAGCCTTCCTCTACCTTATGCTACCAGGGGAATAAACCTCCAGAATGCCAGTGCTGCAAATTCATGCTCCTGTTGAGGTCACATCATTTTCCCGGCGTTTGTCCATTCCTCAGTTTGATGCATCTTTAACCCAGGTCATAAGGAAGTGGAGAGACTCTAGCAACAGAGCAAGAGGTTTCTAGAGTAAAGAAATAACTGTTTTTAGCAAGACTTGAAGCTTCTGGATACATTTCTATGCTAATAGCCTATTTATATTTCCAAAGATGCTTAATGCTTGCAGTTTCTATTGACATCAGTGGGAAGCTGCTGATACTCAGGACCTCTGAAAGAGAGGCCATTGATTTTGCAGGTGCATGGCCAAATTGGGCTTTCTAAACTTAGGCATCTGAGCTAATGTCATCCTACAGTAGCTGTTACAATGTACAGCTAATATCCTGTAACCCAAGGATATTTGGGACTATGAAAATCCCAGTTGCCAGCAATGTGGCTCTCATAGAATCACAGAAAATTAGGGTTGAAAAGGACCTCAGGAGGTCCCTTCCCTTGTTCAAAGCAGGACCTTCCCGAACTAGATCATCCCAGCCAAGACTTTGTGTAGCTGGGTCATAACAACCTCCAAGGATGGAGCTTCCACCACCTCTCTGGGGAACCTGCTCCAGCGCTTTACTACCCTCCTAGTAAGAAAGGTTTTCTTAATATCTAACCTGCACCTCCCTTGCTGCAACTTGAGATCATTGCTCCTTGTTCTGTCATCTGCCACCTCTTTTGAAGCCCCCTTCAGGTAGTTGAAGGCTGCTATTAAGTAGGCCTGCGCGAGTCGACAGCGATCTGATCCAGCTTTGGAGCTGGCCGCTTCGGATGACCACGATCCGACCCGGAGCTCCGGACCGGGTTTCCGCCTCGATCCGCCTCGGAGATCTGGCCGTAGGGTATAATGGGGAGTCAATGAAATATCTATAACTTTGTT